ACTATAGTGCTAACACTAATATTTTGAATAATTTTAAGGTTTTAAACAATTATCCTGATGCTATTACCAACCAAGATATATGAATAATTTTAAAATCTCGAGGATTCTTTTATGATGTAGAACAAATATTCAAAATTTTTGCTCCAATTAGAGCTACAATTTTTGCAATTAAAAAGAGTGGATTGCACAATGGCAAATTGTTTTATTCAATTAGTTCGTTTAATTGCAATTATTTCTTATATGCCAAAAGAAAGAGATACAATTGCATTTCAAAATCAATGCATAGAAATTATTAACAATCATTGGAATGAACTTGAAGCAGAACCATATATTTTAGTATATATACTGCATCCTAAATATCAAGATATTATTCTTTAACATTTTTAGTATATTTATATTTGTATGTTTAATAATTAAATTTTTTTTTTATAGATGCTAGTTTAAGAAAGAGAATGTATATACAAATTACCTTTTATACTATACAATTATAGCAATCAATGGGATACAAAGATAAATTATTTGTACAAACTCTTATTGTTCAAATTATCAAATTTAAAGAAAAAGAATTTTTATACAAAGTTAGATATGATAGTCAAGTGATGACACCTTTTATATAGCAAAGCTAGAGGTTGGAACTGGTTTTAAATATTTAAGTTTATCATATCAAAATTCGAGTTTATCACACCAAAATTACATCAATTATTAATAATTTATGTGATAAACTTGAATTTTGATATGATAAACTCGAATATTTAAAACCAGTTCCAACCTCTAGGTAGAGCTTTATTAAAGATAAGTTTGATAATTTTAAAATTTTGGCCAAAAAAATTTTTGTAATAACTTTACATAGCACGTCATATAAACGTATTTTTTCTATTTTGGGTTGGTTCTATGGTAAAAAAAGATAACGATTGGGGTTAAAAAATTTAGAATCACTTATTAAAATCTGATATTATAATTTATTTAATACATGTAAAGAGCTATTATATAATGTGAAAAACAAAACTAAAAATAAATTAGTAGCATTGATTCAAAAGTCTTATCTGTTTGATGCCAAGAATGAAAATGATATAAGCAAAGACTATGAAGATAAAAATAATAGAGAATTAGATGATGATTTAGAGATTCCTAATCATCAAGTAGTAGTTCTTGTTATTAATAACATTGTAGATTTGCATCATCAAGCGTTTAATCAAGTAGAAGATTTGTATATCTCTAATAAAGACAATATCAATTCCGATATTACTATAAATGAAGATTATGAATTTAATTTAGAAGAATTAGTTCAAGATCTTGAATAATATATGTAAAGTCATAACATATATTATATATATATATATATTAAATACATAATTTAAAAATAAATAAATTATATATTATTCCTTTATAAAATCACAATTAAATAAATAAGGTAAAGAATATATTTACAAACCACTATATAGAAGCATATAAGTAATCGCATATATGTATTGTATATATCGTATATATATTGACATAAGATCATCTACTTATTATCAGAGTAAACTGAACTATTTCTAATGAACTAAGTAACTAGTATAGCCATTGTTAGTATAAAGAGCCAAACTATAATGAATTACTAAAGCTAATTGTCACGGTGCTGTGCGATACTATGTGATCGGATCGGGATTTGCATGAATAGCATGATCACGATTTAATTAAAAGTTTAAAAGAGTGATTGCATTAATAATGTAGTAATCATTAGCAATTAGTATTGTATAAACAATGTAGTAATTATTAGCAATAGTAATAATATATAAAGCATCCAAATAGAGGAAGTGCCTAACTTTGGTTCCCAATATCTTTAACTTTTATTCTTAATAAATAAACAGTTATTGGTGGTAGTATCTGATATAATACTTCAGTTATTATTTAATAGCCAAGTAAGTTAAATACTAATAGTAGAAGTCAACAAATATATAGTATTTTGGGGACTAATTCGTCTACTTTAATGATTAATAATTCATTATCAACCTGGTTCTTAGCAAATACATATACATACCTTACCATTTTGTCAATTACTTTGCTAACAACTTCTCCTAACTTAGTTAATAATTATTAGAATAAGCTATTTATTCTAATTTATTACTTGGAAACTTAAATAAGTTATTAATTTCTTTTTATTATATTAATTAGTATTATATTTTAGAGTAATTTAGGAGTATAAACCACTCCATGCCAGCATCAAATTATTAGCTTATTTTGCTCATTTCAAAAACAATCTAAGGCTATAATTATTTTATTAGTAGAATGAAATTAT